ACAAAACAGAGATTATTGCATTTTAAGGGACACTTCAGACACCATAACAACCTCAAATTAATTAAGTTGTTATGATACCAGGAGGTTCCTGGCACCTCCTTATCTTCAGGTGGTTAAACCGTTTAACCCCAATGTCTTCAGTTTGGTGACGGTCACCTCTGTGCATGAACTTCCGTTTGAGTCCAGGACATCAATCATGAAGGTACATTTTTCACTCCATTTAGTGAATAGGGAGCTACTGATGGGCTTAGAGTTCCAGCTGATGTTCTCAGTCTACCAGCTGTGCCCCTTTCCTTAGTGTCCTGATTGAGCCTTTGGATTTAAACAGAAGTTTGGGAGCAGATCTGATCAGTGCAGGACTGAAGACAAAGGGGTTTAATTATTTGTTACCAGTTTAACCCCTAAAGGTAAGCCAACCTCCTGGTACCATAACAACTGCATTCCTTTTAAAGTTGTTATGGTGTCTGGAATGTCTCTTTAATGCTAAATTGGTTGTTTTTGGTGACTTATTTTTTCCTTTGTCCAGTGCCAACACATGCAGGGTTCACTAAAGTGTAAATTGTCAGAAAATTCGAGAGGTATTCACATTTTAGGCCAAAATAGCCAAACCAGAAAAATGTCTTCTATCTTTTCATTTCAGCTATTTGGGCGTAAAATTTTAAATTCACTTTTAATTAATCTTAAATACCCAACAATCCACACCTGTGTAACCCTTTTGAATTGTTAGTAATGACTGTGTGAATCTCTCTGTACGGTGTGATCATGTGTTTCTGAACATGATGCTGTGTATTCGTTTGATTTTGAAAGTTTTTGCACCCCCAAATTGAAAGCTGACGTAATGTGGAATGGAGGTTCATTGCTGTATCTGTCCTTGATAAATAGGTTTGTCTCAAATAAATGTCCATACCAAACAACATGTTTGTATCTTTCCAGAAATATAAAACATTCTAATATAGGGTTACCTAACGCATTTCTAGTCAACTATTGTTCTTTGTTTTCCCACTTCTCTGCCAACATATAACCCTTGGACAAAAAGGGACCCTATATCATTGTTAGCTCCAACAATGCTTTCATTTTTACAATCAGTCAGTTCTTTGAATTGCTGTTATTTGAATTGTTCATGCTGTTTGTTTCAGGTATGTGGAATATGTGTATAGGATATGGAGAGGTACTGTGTATGTATACATGCGATCTCAGTGTGAAGGGACTATGTATAGTTGTCCTTGATAAGAGAGAGCAGAATTTATATGTGCCTACATGTCACTGGCAAAGAACAAATAGTAAAACAATTCTACTACTATTTGGGGGTTTCAGTTTAAAGAAATATTAATGTTTAAATCATTGAGGCGATGTGCCTTGCTATTAACACTAGATAGATAGATAGATAGATAGATAGATATTCAGGCAGATTTGAAACACTTATTTTATAGTGTTTCTTTTAATAAAAGGCTACTTCTCCCACATTTGTGAGAGTGAGTGCTTTAAAGCTAAGTAACAAAAATGTTGATTAATACTTTTTTTATTGTATTTTAAAACAGTTTGTGCCACATAGTTATAATCGACTGTCAAGAAGATGTGAACAATAGCCCATGAATTAAAAAGCTGATTACACTGGCAGCAAATTGGGAGTCAAAAACATTAGCCTTTCCCCTTCGAAACAGTGATATATCTTTAAGTACAATCATCTACTGTAATATGCATGTAGCACATGTCTATGAATTAAGAATGTGTGGATGGTTTCAATACATCACAAGGCAAGATTGTAACACATTCCCTACAGGGCTATCAGCTCCCAGTGAACTAACATGGATGTTATCCTGTACATGTAACAGAATTATTTGGATCAATAGAGGTTGACAGATATTTACAAATGCAATTGGGACAAAATCGTAGATTGTATATTTAGCAGGAATGAGATAGTCCACTCAGTATGTTTGTGTTTAAACGTTTGTGATTTTTTTTATATAAGTACTTTTTAAAATGTGTATATTTTAAGTGAATTTTGTCTGACATCAATCTCTAATTTTCAGTGCCTGACTCCAACTATTTTGTAACATGTTGTAACATTGTAACATACATTTTGCTATATTGTTCATCTGTATAACTAACTGGGCAAATAGAAATTGCTTTAATCCATCTCCCCGTGTTTTTATTTTATTAGAATTTCTGTGTGCTTTAATTGTTTATTTAAAAGACAAAAACATCTGGATAGACGATCTAAACTACCTGCTTGATTTACAACATTTTAGTTCTTCTATGGCAAGCCAGAACAAAGATATGTATGATAAAGTATATGTAAGATAAAGTATGTTTTATTTTATTTTCATGCCAATGCAACACATATAAGAAGCAAAATGCTGAATATCACTATTTTTTTCTCTGTTCTATGTTAACATAGCAATGCTGGTTAATAAGCAGCTCTAAAGACGTTATAGAGATATTTGCTAAAGTAAGACTTGCACAAATCCCTTTCAGCTGTGTTGATTGAATCAAATGCCTGTCAATCTATGGACGAATTAATTGATTAATTAGGGATTTGTCTAACAAATCAATGCATTCGTCCATAGATTGACAGACATTTGATTTGATACGTTCGGGACAGTGGAAAGGGATTTGTCTAATTAAAGAGAATTTCAAGTTTTAGGGCAAAACTGTTGAACTCTAAGCATTTGCTGAATTGGATTTTTTTCCCATTTCAATTCTTTGTTCTTAACTTTGGAATTCACTTTAAAAACCCCACTATTCTCACTTTAGTAAATAACCATGTGTTAACAGTGACATAACTATTGCTTCGCCATTATTTAAGTTAATAAAATCCTCATTAAATAGTTGGAGAATCTCATCTATGAAGTTGTCAGCTCAGAGGAAGAGGCAGACAGAAGGCAATTACTGATTTCACAACATAATTTAGGGACCTAGAACAACAATATAAATCTACTTACTAGTGACTAACTTCTTAAGACAAATAGTAAAACATTTAACAAATCCAATAACCAGATACTACAGTAGCTATTGTAGCTACATCTGAGGCAAATAATGACTGAGTACGCTTTTAGCTTTCTTAGATCCCACTGGAGGGAGCTTAATAATTCTTGTGGAAAAATATTTGCTGTTTTTGTGAAGTATCATGGAGGCCTTTGCAAGGGACATTGCAAATGAGGGATATACTTCCCAGACAATACTCATAAGATTATTAGTCTAGTCTGCTTGATCAAATATTTTATATAGGCTCCTATTTTACATATAAATAAGGACATTGGATTAATGGTCATATGTATGGGGTGCCTTGGTTGCAGAAAGTTACAGGGAACTTTCTGAAGAGCACTACAAGTATAACCCAATGTTTATTTGGACATAGAGACGCCTTGCCTGCACCTTTTCCCATTAACAATGGCACTTGTCATGGATGCCCTCTGTTTATAATTTAATTTGCCCTGTCAATGGACATCCACACTAGCAATTGTTCTGACTCTGGAAAAAAATACAGGCTCTACCTGGGTTGGAACTAGGCTCCTTTTATAATTTTATAACCTTGTGTTTCCTAAAAGCATTGCACTTTTCTATTGTTCTCCTTGTAGATTTTGGAGGCCCATACATAAGTTGGAATTTTTTTCCTTACAGGTACTAGTGTTACGAGCATCGTTGGAGAAAACAAATATGCTTAATAAGAAACACTTTTTTATTTATTCAGTTAGTCCACTTTGTACAGTCATACAGTTGCAAATGTCAAGACTACGTGTTTTAAGATTATATGCAGGTTTCCCTGTGGGAAGTAACAGAGTCTTTTCCCTTTACTAAATACTCATCTGAAAACAGTGGCCTATGCTGACCTACCAGAGTAGGGAACTGAGAGATGACATTAACTAGGTGGATTGGGTGATACATCAAAAAACAGCAAACATTAATGAAACAGAACTTATATAAAGTTTTAGCTAGCTGGTATGTACATCCTTACAGATTAGCTCAAACTACTCTTGGTATGTCATCCTAGATTTTAGAGGCTGTGGATAAGGCTGATGGATGCGCCCTTTCAGCAGATTATATAGTTACATAGTTAAATAGCTGAAACGAGACTCGCGTCCATCAAGTTCAGCCTTCCTCACAATGTTTTTGCTGTTGATCCAAAAGAAGGCAAAAAACCTGGTCTGAAGCGCTTACAATTGTGCAACAAACTAGGAAAAAATTCCTTCTTGACCCCAAAATAGCAGTGCGATGTCTCGGCTCATGCAGCTATTACCCCACTAATTAGAAATGATATCCCTGTATGTTGTGTTTTTGCAAGTATTTATCCAATTGCAGTTTAAACATCTGTATGGACTCTGACAAATCCACCTCTTCAGGCAGAGAATTCCATATCCTTATTACTCTTACTGTAAAAAAACAAAAACTTTTTGTTGCATTAGATGAAATCTCCTTTCTTCCAGCCTAAATGTGTGACCTTGTGTCCTATGTATAGCCCTGTTTATGAATAGATTTCCAGTTAAAGGTTTGTACTGGCCCCGAATATATTTGTATAATGTTATCATATCCCCTCTCAGGCGCCGTTTTTCCAAACTAAACAGATTGAACTTTTTTAACATTTCTTTGTAACCAAAATGCTCCATTCCTTTTATCAATTTTGTAGCTCGTCTCTGCACTTTTTCTAGTGCCGTGATATCTTTCTTTAGAACAGGTGCCCAAAATTGCACAGCATATTCAAGGTGTGGTCTTACCAGTGATTTATAAAGAGGCAAAATTATATTTTCATCCCGAGAATTTATGCCCCTATTTATACATGACAAAACCTTACTGTCCTTAGCAACTGCAGATTGACATTGCATATTGCTGCCTAATTTGTTGTCTATAACAATTCCCAAAACCTTCTCGTGTGTGGTTATCCCTAGTTCACTACCATTTAGGGTGTAAATTGCTTGTGCATTCATAACCGCGAAGTGCATAACTTTGCATTTCTCTACGTTAAATTTCATCTGCCATTTTAGTGCCCAGTCCCCCAATCTATTCAAATCCCTATGCAGCAAAGCAATATCCTGCTCGTATTTTATTACTTTATAAAGTTTACTAATACATGGCTTTCAATGCCTATTTCAAGATCATTTATAAATATGTTAAATGGAAACGGTCCCAAAACAGAACCTTGAGGGACACCACTTACCACTTTTATCCAGCTTGAAAATTTACCATTAATGACAACTTGTTGTACTCTATCCTTAAGCCAGTGTTCTACCCAAGAACAAGAATATTCATCTAGACCAATTTCATTAATTTGAAGACTAACCTGTTATGAGGAACTGTATCAAATGCCTTGGCAAAATCCAAGTAGATCACATCCACTGCAACACCCTGATCTTACTTCTTCGTAGAATGCAATTAGGTTAGTTTGACATGACCCTTGTTTTATAAAACCATGCTGATTATTGCTAGTAACAAAGTTCTTCTCAACGAATTCCTGAATATTATCCCTTAATAGCCCTTCAAATATTTTCCCAGTTACAGAAGTTAAGCTCACATGTCTATAATTTCCAGGCAAGGACTTTGAACCCTTTTTAAATATAGGAACAACATATGCTTTCCTCAAATCCTCCGGTACAATACCTGAAACAAAAGAATCTTGAAAAATTAAATACAGAGGTTCACTTAGGTTCACAAGATCTCTTTTATAGGCTTAGCAGATGTCTGAAGGTTCATTTACTAATTTAAGCATATAGGCATATCCAATTATGAAGGTGTGGTGGAAAGCTTATTTTTAAAATTTTTGCACAGCACCACAAATATACTTGGCTAAACACTGGTAAGTCATCTCATATATCTAAAGCACAAATTGACACAAAAAATGTATACATTTTGAAAATGGAAAATTTCACAGATGCAAAACACAAAACCACGGACCAGTTTCTGAAAATATGACCACCCAGTGGAGATGTGCTTTCCATTGAGGCCCTTACTAAGCCTGTAAGCTCTTTGAAGACCCCCAGGGGCTCCCTCAGGGCAGTAGTTGGGAAAGAGACACTGGGGAAGAGTTTATATTTATATGTGCATCCTTTTGTTATTGCTGTCTCTATATCTTACTTTTCATTTTCCCTTACTCCCTGTCCGCTTTCTCGATTTTCTCCAACTCTGCTGAACTGTTGATTCTGGAATTCATTTTTCTTTAAGATGCTGAATGAAACAGAATTTCTAATCTAACGGAACCTTGTGATTGCAGCTGATCTCTTTTTTTCTTGAATAAGGCATTCTCTCAGAATTCTGCTCTTGAAAACCTATTTATTTTCTTTTGTGCATGTTAATTAATTTATTGATTCCTTGAAAATGTTACAAATCACTTTAATTACAAAAAATGTTGAAGAATGATGAGATTGCACACCTGAAACAATCCTCTGTGGCAATATATTATAAAGAATATATTTAGCAACCGTGGAGAAAATAACGTTACCATATTTCCTTAGGTTATACAGCATCTTGTGGATATAAATAAATACTGCTATATCAGAAACTATAATGATTTTGATTACTTCTCTGAAATGTTTTACTCTTTGGTAAAAGTAAGGTTGGCACTAACATAAAAAAGATGATGAATAGATGATAGAAAGATGATAGATAGAAAGATTGATATCTAAAACATATATATACTTACAATTAGATGATTTTTTTTCTTCTTAAAATTTATTTTCTTTGGCCCAAAAAAGGCTGAATAAAAAATTAAAAAGTCCTGTCATAACCTTTACTTTGAAAGAATAGAATGAATCGCAAAAGTAAGGAAACACTTTCTGCACGGTATAAAACTAAAATCCAAGTTGGTCCATCAAGGGCTCCAACCAGAGTGCTCTAACAGGCAAATCTTATCTCGAGACTTGCATGGATTTTTATGTCTTTTGTTTGTGATCCTGTCCTTTAAAAAAAATAAAAATGGAAAAAACTAAAAGTTGCGATGAGACTTAATGTTTTCATAAAAAACTGAGACCAAAGAAAAGAAGTTTTAAGAAAAAAAGAGGACATCTAATGGTATGTATAATTTAGTTTTTTTCTACAGGTATAAGATCAATTGGGCTCCCCCTCACTATTATTAGCGTGAGGGGGTATTCAGGTTTTTATTGAGGGATTAGCTATGGGTTTAGAGACTAGCCACAAGGGAGTTAGGCATAATTTTGGCATGCCTACCATCACCTTGTATATTTAATTGTAGCTGACACTAATGAGTAGGTGCTGGGGAGGCATTTGGTGCCACAGAGTTATTACTTAAATTTGAGCCTCTACCAACAGCCTATGGGTGTGGCCTGGGGGGGAATTAGATCCCCTCTTTATGTTCCCCTGTTTAGTATAATGTTAGCCCTTAGCCACTGATCATTGGTGGGGGTGGGAAGGATAATTATGGGGGCATGGTGGTGGACAATGACCTGACCATCTCTCCTCTTTTTTACAGCTTTTTAGTACAAATGCCCCCAATCACAGCATGGTGAATGGAGGCATGAGGAAAGTTTAACACCTGTCTTGTACTAATGTGAGTGTCATATTGCCCCCCACAGGTTCAATTTTCCTGAAGTTACTAGTACTTTCAGTGAGCAAACAGTCAAAAAATGCATTTATCAACAGCTTTTTGCTGTCAATATTTTCACGGTCATTTATCGAGGATTATGTCCTTAATAGATGGCATTGAATTGCTTAATCCGATATTTTCAATGCTAAGTATAATATAAATTTGAAAAATATTTTTTGAAAAGCTAAATTATTTGAAATTATAGTTATATGATCCTGATAAACATTTAAGCCTTTAAGTGGTAAGGTAATCGATTCAAACCGATAAAAGGCTTATTGGGAGCTGATAAACTGCCGCCAAACATTTGCTTGATTAGGAATCAAGGCCATAGTTGGAACAGGTTGACATACATTTAACTGGGCTGAAGAACTGACTCTTAAACTAAAACTGTGCCATAAGAATTTTCACAGTGCCTCTAGAGGTTAGTCTAGCTTGACCATGAACAAAATGTTTACAGCACTGAACTATTGTCTTTTTTATTTTAGAAAATTGTTAACCCCTTTACAAATAAAATCTAAAAATACAGATCTACTTTCAAGGCGCACATGGAAAATAGTGACCATAATGTGCCATTTGAAATCAACTAAAAATAAATAAATTTATATGGGCTTTACAAAAGGCTAATTTCAATAGGATAAGGGTATCTTAACAACTAAATGGCTGATGAGAACTATTCATTGGCAGAGAGCACAGAGGACAAATGTATTGTCTTTTAACAAATTGTACAAAGGAACATTTCTCACCATATGTTGAGAAATTGTGACTTAGTAAAAGAGTCATTCAAGTAATTAACAATAAGAAAGGGGTGTTCAAAACATTTAAATCAGAAGATCAATATGATCCTATAAAAACTATAAGCATTCCAATATCACTTGCAAAACTAAATCGGCTAATCTATAAGATAACATAACAGCCAAAGACAGCAACATGAGCCCCTCCCCCTCTACATTAAAGTCAAAAAGGTTAAGAATTAAAGTGTTAGTCCATTGGAATCTGACGTGTGTGTTCATCAAGGAGGATCGGGGCAAGGCAAGAAATCTAAATATTTTGTTCGTTATATAGCAAGTAAGAATCTATAAAGTTGCAGATCCTTGTTACAAAAGCTTTACAGCAAACATGTGATTGTGGAGGTTAGCTCAGTATAATGTGCTGTTAAATAATATAAATAAAGCCCTAGAGCCAGGTGGTATTCACCCACAAGTGTAGGGAGCCTAGTGTAGAAATATCTATACAACTGTTGTTAATCTTTCAGGATTCCTTTCTTTTAAGAATAATACAAGAGGACTGGAGAAAAGGCTATTTTTAAAAAGGGTTCAAAACCTCAACCTGAAATCTATGGACCCATGATTCCTTTAAATGAATCTATAGGCACCCAGACCACTTCATCTCAATGCCCTTACAACTGAAATCATGGTTTGCAGGAATATCAAAACCTGGAGGCGCTTCCATAGCTATGACTGAGTGAAACTCAGTTATACTCAAATAACTCTCCTACAGAGAACTTGATTGGTGTAGCAAGGCATTTTGGGATGTTTCCCTATGAGGAAGCACTGGATTGATTTGCAGAGATCATCAATCTTCATGATCTCAGTCAGGGATGCCAGGCAACAACACAGAAACCAGTTCACCACAAAATGTAAAGTAAGTAAATCTTACCTTTAAACTATTGTAGTGGGAGGACTCCTACATAGATAGGCGAACACTATAACAGTAGAAATACAATCCTTTCCCAACCACATACATCTGTGATTGGGAAATTATTTGAAAGGCTGTTAAGGAATAATTTGCATGAATTCATTTTTAACAGCCATGTCATTAGTAGAAATCACCATGGTTTTATGAAAGATAGATCATGTCAAACTACCTAATTGTGTTCTATGAAGACTTTAGTACAAATACAGGTTGTGTTGCTGTAGTGGATGTGATCTACTTAGATTTTGGTAAATACATGCATTTCCACACAAAATATACTATTAAAGAAACCAGTGGTGTATTCTGGTTTTGTGCTGCCCTAGGCAAATTTCACTTGCTGTTAAAAACCAACATGCCCTTTGCCTGACAGACACACACCTTCACTGATACATACAATGACATAAACTTACTGACAGTAACACGGTCATTGTCACACACACTGTTTAACCAACACACAATTTTACTGAAAAATACTCACTAATAGACAAACAGATATGCACCCACCCACCCACCGACAGACACACTAACTGACACATGCATTCACTTACAGTTACACATAAACACTCACTGACAAGACACATACACACTCACTGAGAGATGCACACTCACTCTGTGTTAGATACACACACTGTGACGCACATATACTCACTGAAAGACACACACTGACAAACACACATACACACTCACTGACAGATGCACACATTCGTTAACAGACATACACATTGACTGACAAAAACACACTCTCAGTGACAGACATGCATACACACACTGACAGACATACTCATTCACTAACAGACATACACAATCTCACTGATACACACTCTTTGACAGACACACACATACTCCCTAACAGACACATATACACTCACTAACAGACACAGACAAACACACTCACCAACAGACACACTAACACACTCACTAACAAGCAAACAGACACTCTCACTAACAAACACACACTAACACTCACTAACAGACACACACACTCTCACTAACAGACACACACACTCTCATTAACATACAGACACACACTTTCACTAACAGACACACACTAACACTCAGTAACAGACACATTCTAACACTCACTAACAGACACTCTCTCACTAACAGAGATACACACACTCTCACTAATAGACACTAACACTCACTAACAGACACCACTCTCACTAACAAAGACACACACGCTCTCACTATCAGACACACTAAGAAACACACAC